ATTATATACCAAATAAAAGTTAAGTTTACTACAAAGAGACCAGAGGTCAGATAGAAAGCAAATCTAATTTAACCATTTGTTCTGACATGATAGTTTTTGATATGCAAGGAATTATTTCGTAAGGAAGCTCACTCAAACTAGGTAAATCAATCTGAAATGATATAATTTGGAAAAGAATTACTTTTCTACATTACATAAATTACATATTACTTTGTAATATTACATATTACAAGAATTAGACCTTTGCCAAGAGATCTGATTCTGATCTACAAGCAAAAATAGAAACAATCTTGTTGCCATTTGCCATAAACCTAAAGTAACCCTTGTTTGTTACTAATTTACATGATTTTATATGTAGCTCTAATATCAAAGAAACCATTACAATTAACATACAATTTGGTGCATCACAGGCTTAACCCATTATATTAAACTGCAACTATCTTTTCTATTCCTTCTACCTAGAAAATCTTCAGGAAGAATTGGACTGATAGTGAAGCATAGATCTCTATGAGGCTACAGACTAATAAAACCATAAGTAATCCCATGAAATATACTCAAGTATTTACAATAACTGAGATTCCATTTTTTAAAGAGAAAAGATAATGTGGGATAATGTTTTCCTGTAGACTGGTGTGATCAAGAGATAGCAGGAAGCCTAATACATAATAGTGCATTAGGGCCAATAGTGGTCTATATAAAACTCACCTGACAGCAAAATGGTTAAATATTTACTAATAGGATGATGATTTAATATGTAAGTTTAAGAGTAAAAATAAAGCTTATTCATATGTCTTAAATATAAATAAAGTGTCAACTTGATAACAGACATGGGAATGCTTTACAAGTTGACAACTTTTGGAAACCTGACACAAAGGTTGAAAAGGCATTAAAAAGTAAATATGTAAAAGAAACACCTGCAAATAAATTGCAGCAGATAACACAAAAACTTGCAGAGAAACTGAAATTGAATAGGATGAAGGCATCCCCTTAAATATTTAAAAATCTGTGCAAACATAAAGAACTTTTTAAAAAAGGAAAGGGGACCAGAAATACAAAAGGAAGAGGCAGTACTACTGCTAAGTTTATTTAGATTTTTCTTAAGAATTTTGATCTAAGTCATTATAACAAAAATTGAAAGGTTCATCTGAAGGCTACTCTATCAGAGACATCTACAGGTTAATAATACATTATTACATTATTAATGGATATATACCGGTGAATAATACATTATTATATTATTAATAAAATATTTTTGCTACATAGAAAGGAATTGATTAAAGGCCTTGAGCACATCCCACATTAAAATGCATTTTGATTCCTGAGCACCAATAGATGCAAAGAGCCATTTACTGGGTTACAATTTACCATTTGGAAAGACTTAAAAACTAGAAAGCCCTCGCAGTCTAGCATGGTCTTTCTAAAGTGGTTGGGCCAATGTAACACCCAAAAGCAAGATATGAGTACCACAGACCTTCCCATTCATTTTCTCCATGAACTGCTATTGAGAAGCATTTTTTTTTCCTCTGATAATAAAGTTAAAGAAGACCATCAAAAGAAACAAATATGTCCCTCTTCCATGAGCATATTGGTAAGTGCCACCTTATCAGACACTACAGCCTTCATTCTGTAGTGGTTTAAGATGACCACCATCTCTGAGGACAGAGAAGGTTCTATTATTTTCATAAACACTTTCTACCCAACATTCTCATTTATGTCAATCAATCAGAATAGAGCTGGAAGGGACATTGAGGTCTTATAGTCCAACCCCCTGCTCAAGCAGGAGACCCCTATACCATTTCAGACAAGTGACTGTCCAGTCTCTTCTTTAAAATCTCCAGTGATGAAGCACCCACAAATTCTGACAGCAAGCTGTTCCACTGGCTAATTGTCCTCACTGTCAGGCGGTTTCTCCTTAAGTCCAGGTGGCTTTTCTACTTGATCAGTTTCCATCCATACACATGCTCTTTCCCTAATAACTGCATTATGAGCAATTTCCTTTCACCCAACAGACATACAACCAGGGGTCCTGTAGTGATCATTCTGAGAACACCCTCAGAGAGATGCAGTGAAAAGTGTCAACAATAATCAGGGTTTGCAGCAGCCACCTTCAAATTGAAGTGATGATTATTATACAGAGCTCCCAGTAGGGTAACAAGCTGCTTAAGAAAGTGGTGTGTTTTGCTTTAGTGAAGGATATGTTCCTAGCAGAAAATCCAAATCAGAGGTTGAAAGGTCAGGGCCTGTACCCAATTTATCATCTCTCCTGCCTAATGGTAAGGCTGGAGACACCATCACTTCTTACTGAAAATATCATGCTACTTGTTAATTGTTGGAATCGTTCTCTTAAAAAATAGGGAATAGTTTAATTTCCATCAGGATTTATGTAACTGACACATGTGAAGAATACACATAATGTATGAGCAGTAATTTGGTGCTATATAACTAGTATTTGCTGACTGCCCCAGACCTTACAGGCTTGGCAGTAAACTTCAAAGCACAAAACATAAATCTAACCCAGAACAAATCATAAAAATTCTATCATCCACTAAATCATTGATATGATTTATAAACCATATAACAACCAAGAACAAATCATAATCAACCCAGAACAAATCATAAAAATTCTACCATCAACTAAATTATGTTGGGATAAATATAGTGTTTTTTTTTCCAGTATGAGAAATGTAAGGAAGGTGGAGGTCAAATGTGTTTGTGGGAAAATTGTGTTCCACAATGTCCACAGACAAGGCCTTTTGTCTATGCAATGTCTCATCCACATTTTGTTTTTATAGGGAGTTGGGTGGCAAGAAAGGAGGAATTCTCAATGGGAGATATTCAGACCAGACAGGTGGATTCCATTTGGACAAAGCATTGCTTGATTTACTCAGTGAATCCATTATACCTCTATGGGGCTTTTAAGGTGATCCCTCTGAATTCAATTAAGATAAGAAAAAGGACAGATTCTCCCACTCTTAGTGGTTTGATGTTCTTGGAACCAGAATGCCAGTCCGATAAATGAGAAGGAAAGCAAGGAAAAGAATGATGAATAAATCTATTAGAGAATTATTAATTCTATAATAGAATTAGCTGGGGAGCCAGATGAATGCCGGGGTTTGGTTGAGCTCCAGAACACAGGTGTAAAACTCGATCGTGTCACATGACATATCGTGACATATCGTGATTTTTTTGCCTTTGCAGAGCTGGGGTGGGCATGGCCTATATGTAATGAATCCAGCCCTCAAGTTGCCAGCTTGACACCCCTGCTCTAGAGGGAAAACAAAGTTGAGTTGAATATAAGTTGAGTTATTTTCCAAAAGGTAGCTTGATCTCCCCCCTCCTCAAGCCCATTCTGACTGACTGAAGGAATGAATGAAGCTTATCCATCAACAATATTTCCAATTTACAGATGCTTTGTACCAAAAGAAAAGCACACTTGCAAGGGGAGCACCATTTTCCATCTTAAAGGTCCTTCCTACTCTTGTTTTCCCTCCTTCCCATCCTTCCATTTACTTACCAGTTAATAAGTTCATTTAAAATGCAAACACTCAGGTGTGTAAGGAATAAACATATGTGAAAAGTTAAAAAGCCCTCCAAGATGAGATTGGTAATCTTATATTGATAATTTAAATTTGCTCCTGTATATTTTTCTTTTTGGCATGTTCATAGTTTTGTCTTCAGCATATTTTCGAAAATGGCCATAATGTTGTTATCTGAAATAACAATTTTGTGCTCTGCAATAGTAATAAATACATTTCCCCTCAAAAGGAAATGCTGCATTGCTATTTTTGCTTTTATTACCCTCATTACTTCTATTTATTTCTTCTTCTTGAGGATCTTAATAAACCATGAGGCTCTTATTAATCTGCATGACTGCTAATGGGTGTATTGTGGAAAAAAGAAAAGAATAAAGCTTTGCTATACAGTTCCAGAAGTATTTGGAATACCCTTATTAAATTATTTAATAAAAGGGAACCAACACAATGGGATCTTCATTTCCATTTCTGCTGTCCCCAGTAGAACCCCAAATTTACCTCAGAGCCGAAGACCTTCAGATTTCTGGATTTCATCCTTGCAGGCAATTCAACTGATAGAAATTTGGTTGAAAGCAAAACCAGATAAGATCTACCCATTGAGTCAGGAGTATAATGGCATTGTGAGAAAAAAAAAACTTGGGAAAGGGTTTGAAAAGTTGCTGTCAGACTCTAGCAAATGGTCAAATAAGAGACAGCATAGCCCCCACCTGGACAGTGGGTGAAGCAAGAGGCTTCAAGAAAGAATCTACCCTAGTTTTTTGGGCTGTAACGGAGACAGCGGAGAAAATTGAACTTTCAGACTTGCAAAACCCTGTTAACTTTACAATAAAGTCGAATTAGCATATCTGTTCCTTTTTCCTGTCTGGTCTACCTGGAAAGGCTAACAGGTAACATTGAACAGAATCTTCAATGCCTGTATACAACCTGGAGTACGCAACCTGAGTTGCAAACTGGAGAAATGATCAAGTACCATTCCTTTAATTCCTTTGGTTTAATGCATTAATGACGAGGAAAGACTATTCATAAAAGCAAAATGGCTGATAAAGCTGAATGAGATTTTTGATACGTTATGCACATGCAAAACATAGCAGGTAGGATTGTATGCATCTGTAAAGTGGTGAATGGGGCTTTAGACATACCAAGAGGCAGATTTTTGACTGCTACATACAGAGTTGGTAAACTAAGGTCAAACACTTTTTAAAAATGTACTTCCAATTTTGGGGGGAGTTCATAATATTCATTTTAAATAGTTAAACTCCTAATTTCTTGCAATTCTTATTTTTAGTTATGATCATGTTTACCCAGATATACAGTACATTATTAAGCAAACATTTTAAAACTCTTCTGTCCTTTTACTCCCTGATCCCTTAACTCTTTCTGATGGAGATAACTTCCCATTAAATCTGAAAAAGATATTAAACTTTCTCTCTCCTTTTCCTACGTGAGACATGAAGCAAAGATTCTTACCTTTCCAGGAGCACACATAGTCCCATCCAACGGAGGTCCTTTCTTTGTTTTGCAGAAGTAAGGGTTATCAGGATGACTGCACCACAGCTGCTTGCAAGGATCAAAGGTGCGGAACTAGAAAAAAAAAGTATTTATATTACTAATGGCTTTTTCAAAGCTTCTATGCATTTACATTTCTGTTGGAAATTAGAATAGATTACTAAGGATATGTCCTGGATAGAGAGGACAGTTAGGACTGAACTAAGAAAATCTACAAGTATCCTGATAGCAGCTCCTATTTTGCTGTTATTTGAGTTAGACTTTCCCAAATAACTGTTCTTTAGTTGGACTCCATGTGAATTTTGTAGTTTGTTTCTACTATCAGTTTGTTTTATGAGTTTTGTAAATGCTTTATCTACTTTGAGAGGGCTGAACAGTCTAGAAAATGTTTCTTATCTACTGGTATCTATCTACTTATCGTCCTTATCAGGATAAGAAGACACTGGTGGCTTTGAAGATACAGAATTTTTTTTTACTGATAACTACAGGCTTAAACTGGACATGACTGTTATAGTAGCATTATAAATATCTAGACCAGTGTTTCTCAACCTTGGCAACTTGAAGATGTCCGGACTTCAACTCCCAGAATTCCCCAGCCAGCATTTGCTGGCTGGGGAATTCTGGGAATTGAAGTCCAGACATCTTCAAGTTGCCAAGGTTGAGAAACACTGATCTAGACCATTCCCCCCAAAAAGAGAAGATGATCAAATGGAACAAAGATCATTTATCACAACAGGGTCTTTTGTTCAGATCATGAAAAATCCATGGCTAGTCACTTTCTCTCAACAGAAGGTGTGTGTGTGTGTGTGTGTGTGTGTGTGTGTGTGTGTGTGTACACACATGCCATATGTTTTGTGGAGAGTGCTCTTCATCTGGAAAATCAAATTAATTCCATGCCAGAATTGGGAGAGGTTGTCTTCCTGTTTGAATTATTTACATACCACAGAGAGCCTCAGAAAGTCCCTGAGCCAGGAGAAAATATTACAGTGCTAAGTTTAAGTCATCCAAGCAAAAGACTTTGGTGGCCAGCTTTGCCTTAGGCAGCCTTTCCATGGAAGCCCTTCTTGCTTTGCAATTAATAACCTTTCAGAATCTAAGGGCCTTTCTTTTTAATAGTATTAATTTTAGTTTACTGTTTTTGTTCTGACTGTTGTTTCAAAAACTCTTTACATTTATGACACTTTTTGCATTGCAGCTTCCAGATTGTTTTAAAGTGGGGGGGGGGGTCTTTAATTATCCAATTATTGTTTTGTAAAATTCTTAGGATTTGTGGGAAAGAAGTCTGGGCATAGATAATTCAAGTCTACTGCTTTTGGAGAAGCTGGATGGTACATGTATGGATTGACAGCTACACTCACTAAATAACCATGATAGGTCATTGAGTACATGCATCTAATTCCCTCCTACATAAGGCAGAAGAGAAACCCTTATGCAACCAATCCCCGGAACTCTGGGAGTTAATTGTAATAAAAGCCTCTTCTTTCCATAAATCTTCTATTTCCAAAACCATCTAATGAAATTATAGCATCATAATAGTAAGAATTCCAGTTGTTTTGAAAACAGGATGTTTACACAACTTTCCGAGACACCTCATTGAGTGCCAGTAAGCTTTGCTCTGTACCCGTCAGCCATTTTGTCTGTCTTCTGATGCTCCCCCCGCCCATTTTCCCACAGTAGAAAATGTGGCAGGCCTGTAAAAGATGGCCTCCAGGCCTGACAGGGATGCTTTCAAAGGCCCTGGATAAGGGCCAGCAGAATTCGATTAAATACTCACAGCTGTGCACATCATGTAGCCCAAACCAAAATCAAAGCGGCACTGCTCATTCATGGAATAGTGGAGTCCTGGCAGTTGCGGAAGGGAAGGCCAATCATGGTCAAAAGGATCATCACGCAGGCAATCGTAGGAACTACAGGGGAAAAAGTCACTGTCACACAAATGGATTGTGGGAGGTTTTAAGCATTGTGAGTTTCGGTCCATGGTTGTTCCAACATAACCAAGGACATGCTTTCTCAGAAATGAGTTCAGAAACTACACTTCATACTTAGGTATATCAAACCTAGCATTCACTTTAGTAAATTAGCATCTGAAACCAGAGAACATTTATTATAACCCTCAGTTGCAAGGAAATTCTCTCTCTATAATAAACACCTTGGGAGAGTCATCTGGAGAAGAGGAGAATAATTAAAAAAGAAGTTGCTATAAATAGAGATGAAACTATTTCCATATGCATAATAAGTGATTTATTGGCGGTTATTAGATTCATCTGTTTGGTGAAAAATGACTGGCATTTAATGGAAGCAGTTTAAATTAAATGAAAATGATTGCTATAATAATTTCATTATGTCTGTAACCTTTCTTCAGTTTTATGGTGTGGTTCTCATTTCTTTTTCTTTTTTTTTACATGTTGCTAATGGAAATATAAGCTTGAAAAAAATAAACATAAGGACAAATCTTGGCAAATAGAGCATATTTGATGCCACAAAACAAATTCTAATTGCATTTTCACTTCAAAAATTATGCTAACGTGTGTTACGTAAGCAAGAGTTTAGTAACAAGGACCAATCTGGTAATCTAACAAGATGAATTACCCAAATCTTGGATAAGTAAACTCAAAAGTGATACCTCCTCCTTAACATCACCATAACAGAGATGGCAATTATAAGAATCCTAGTTACCACTCACAGTTTTCAGGGCATATCCCTATTTTATCTTTGAAAGAGGGCACCATGCTGTCACAGAGACATTTATTTATCATGGACCCTTGTCTTTGCCAATGTTATTTCTTAAAAACATAAACCCCAAAAAGAGTTTTTTTATGTAATAAATATAACTTTAAAGGGACTGGAAAGATTTTACAAACATGTATTTATTCCCATGTGTTTTAACTAATAAAAAACAAATAGGATAATAATTGATTTAAAATCAGAACTGAGAAGAAACCTATTCTGAAAAAATAAAAGATGTAACTGCTTACAAAATAGCCTTAGTACTTCCTTACAAAGCAATCCAATGAACGGTTATTTAGAAGTGAATCTTACTTAGTTCAGAGCAAATAACAATAGCAATAGCACTTAGACTTATATACTGCTTCATAGTGCTTTACAGCCCTCTCTAAGCGATTTACAGTCAGTATATTTTCCCCAACAATCTGGATCCTCATTTTACCCACCTCAAAAGGATGGAAGGCTGAGTCAACCTTAAGCCTGGTGAGATTTGAACTGCCAAATTGCAGGCAGACAGCAGGCAGCAGAAGTAGTAGCCTGCAGTACTGCACTCTAAACCCCTGTGCCACCATAGCATAATAAATTAGTCCAGGACAACAAATTTCATTTAATTTTTAACTTTTTCTAGCAGGAAAATGTTCTGATTCATCACCATGTTTTCTAGCTAATGAAATGGTGCCATACAACTCTTGAGAATTGATCCTTCTCTATCCTTGTACTCACTGCAGGTATCGGTTCAGTTCCTGTTGGCTGCAGCGAGACCAATGGAAGCGATGGAATGCAGCCTGGACCAGTGGCGCCATTATACTTCCCATCCGCACTTCATCCCCACATCGGTTCCCTTGGCCATCGTGTTCCATGCCTAATCTAGAAGAAGACAAGTCAGGACAAAGGGGAGTGCTTTAAAAGAATGAATAAAAGCAGCTGTTTATTCTTCTTGCAATGCATTTGTTCTTGATTTAGTATGATTTTGCCAAACATGGACCACCCACTCATCCCCTGACTACTGGAGCCAGCATGGCTTCTGCTGTGAAGTCTGTACATCAGGACACTGTTACAAAGTGGCTTAATTTATTTTGATCCAAGTCAAAGATGGGAGTTCCCACTGGTCTGCCTTCTAGGTCTACACCATTGAATATTAGCTTCAATGGTATTATGAAGTCCTGGCTCCTAAAGCAGGTTGAAGATGTCAGAATAACATAATAAGAGTTGGAAGAGACCTTGGAGGTCTTCTTGTCCAACCCCCTGCGCAGGCAGGAAACCCTATACCATTTCAGACAAATGGTTATCCAACATCTTCTTAAAAACGTCCAGTGCTGGAGCATTCACAACTTCTGGAGGCAAGTTGTTCCACTGATTAATTGTTCTGTCAGGAAATTTCTCCTTGGTTCTAGGTTGCATCTCTCCTTGATTAGTTTCCATCTATTGCTTCTTGTACTGCTTTCAATGCTTTGGAGAATATGTTGACCCCCTCTTCTTTGTGGCAACCCCTTAGAAGCCCTGTATGTCTTTATGAAGATGCCTTCTAGTGCTCCATTTATTTTTACTCAATCTATTCCACTATTGTTCTGCCTTCATACAGTATTACAATGGTAGCCTTTTCTCTTGCTTGTTGGGCAGCCTTAAAAATGCTCTGCTGGCCAGCTGGTCGATAAGGTCAATGCCCTTATTATGCATCCCATAATCGGTGTGTGAATGCTTCAGCTGATTGTCATTCATGTATGTGGGGCGCTGCCTCATTTGACCAAGTGGCAGAGAACTTTATCTAATAATGTGCCAACACTGCCTATTTTATTCCTTGTTGAGGCACATGCACTAAGAGTTTAATGTGAATTCTAATGGAGACTCCTTAGGATAAATTCTTGCACCCTAACATTGCTGACATCTGTGGTAATGCAGGAAATGACATTTCCCTTTTGACCTTGTTCTGTTTACTTCACTTTTCAGTCATAAATAATTACAAATGCTAGAGGAGAAAGGGGAGAAATCATGCATAGGTACAATCTTAAGAATCCCAATAAATCAGGATTTTTAAAAGGACAGGAAGCAATCAGTGCATAATATAAAAAAAATAGCATTGACTATCCATTAAATAAAATGTGGAGGGAGATATATAGTTTTGGGAGTTTTTATCCTCTTGAGACACTAAAGGTTTTTCAATTCAGGGAACAAAAAAAAGCAACTCCTAAAGTACAAAAAATCCTGCCTGAGAAAATCAGGTTCAAATTCTCAAGAACGGTGCAGATAAAAGCTGTGCAAGTTAAGCAATTTGGTAAACTGTGACCATGAGTTGTTTCCATATCAAACAAACAAAATATAGGTAGTCCTTGACTTATGACCACAACTGAGCCCAATTTTGTATTGTTAAGTGAGACATTTGTTAAGTGAGTTTTGCCCCATTTTATGACTTTTCTTGCCAGAGTTGTTAAGGGAATCCCTGCAGTAAATCCCTGTTAGTAACTTGGTTGTTAAGTGAATCTGGTTCCCTTCTTGACTTTGCTTGTCAGAAGGGCGCAAAAGGGGGTCACATGACACTGGGGCACAGCAGAGGTCATCAATATGAGACAGTTGGCATGCATCTGAATGTTGATCATGGGATCATGGGAATGCTGAAAAGGTTGCAACTATGAAAACAGCCATAAGTCACATTTTTTTCAGTGCCATTGTAACTTGGAATGGTCACTAAATGAACTGTTGTAAGTCAAGGACTACCTATATACAATTCCTGCAAAACCTTTGTTCTGATCCAGAGTGGGTCAACTCCTTACTGCTTAGTATTTAAACCCCCCCTTTTTGCATAAAGAATAATGACAAAGCTTTAAAAATCCTGGCCCTTTGCCACAAATTGGGGTTAATCTTATGCATACAAATACAGGCCTGTTCCAAAGACAACTCTCTGACCATTGCGGTCTACCCTTTACATGAGGACAGCAGCACCAGTGTGTGGAGGGAAGCTTGGCAGCTTTACTAGTATCCTAGTAGGCAATCTACTCTGCTTATTTTTAAACAAGGGGGAAAATAGATTGAGTCGGTGGCTCTCTTTTCTTTCCCACATGAATGACAACCAGAAGACAATTTCTGCAGCAAGGGTCAGTTTGTGGAGGCTTCCATCCATCTGTATTTAGATCAATGTTTTTGAAATTTGACAACTCTTAAAAGTTGGCTGGGAGACTCTGGGAATTAAAGTCCGCACATCATAAGTTGTCAAGTTTGAAAACACTGATTTAGATTCCCTTCTTTTCAACAACAACAACAACAAATAATAATAATAATATTTATTATAATACAAATATAATAAAAATAAAAGACTTGAACACCCTGGTTCTACAAAAAACCACCCTACTTGGAACAGCTTATATCCTCCTATGTTACCTTAACAGTTCCTAGGTCCTTAGTTAGAACTCGAGCTGTTGAGCTACCAACTAGCCCCAAAGGGTGCGGATCTCACCAAAGATTAATCACGCAATAATAATAATAAATTAGCTGGGGAGCCTTCCCAGATAGAGACTATGCCCAGCTGCAAATCTTCATCTTCCCAAACAGAAAATAAACATTAGGAATATGACGGAGGGGATGGACTGATTCCCCTCTGTTCCCCCTTGTGCACTGGTGACTCTGTGTCTTTCTGAGAAAGAGAAAAACAATTACAACTGTTTTCTACACAACACATTTGTTCCAGAAATGCAGGGTTTTTCTCCACTCTCTTCTTTTCTCAACAATAAAATATTTTATGATGCTACTGTTGGCTAGAGAAGAATTCAAAACATGAAAAAGTCTGCAAAGGCTGGGGAGTTGTTTTTATAAGATCGTGGAAAACAGTTCCTTTCTTCAGTGCATATGAGGAGGGCTACCAAGGGAATCCTATCATCAACTTATCCATGTGGCTGGGCAAAGTTATTGAACTTCAGAGCGCAAATAATTTGCATCTAGATAAGAATCAATTCAAATCTGATGTATAGATCTCTCCCTACCTTAGATATACTCAGAAGTAAAAAGAAGAGCAATAAGGGTTCTAAGCCCTATTCAGAAGTGGTTTTCTGCCGGTTCACCCCAGTTTGGGCAAACTGGTAGCGGCTGGGCAGGAGACTCCACCCACCTGCCCAGACGTCATCATGGCCGCTTTGCGCATGCGTAGAAGCACCATAAGTGAGCGAAGCGAGCGTGTGAGCATGTGCCCTCCCAGTTCCAAACCGGTAGCAAAGGTAAAAGAAAACCATCGCTGGCCCTATTACAAATGCAAGCTGCAGCCCCATGGATAATGGCCATGATCTGGTTAGCGAGGCTATTTAAAAACCAATTTACTAAAATGTAATGGGATTAAACTGAATGCATAAATAATGAAGAAGAAATGAAGAAAAGTGGCAAATTATAAAATTAGGTATTATATTATTTTATAATTAAATATTTTATGCCTAAATTATAACACAGCGAGGGCAGGAGTTATGGACTCTTTAATAGGGGGGTGGTTTCAAACAAGGGAGAGATGGTCACCTGTTGTAGATAATTTAGTGAATTCCTGCAGTGAGCAGGGGTTGGGCCTTGATAATGTTTAAGTTCCATTCCAATTCATATATTCTAAGATTCTGTGAATCATTTTTTTTCTTCCTGAAGACTCCCTGTATAAATGAAATAAACTAATCTGCAACTGCATCCTTTTGCTTGTAAGCTCTGACTCTCTCCACTGAAATGACTGAAATAATATCCCACCAAACCAGTGACGTGCAGGCAGGGGAGGCAGAGCCTCACCACTGTCATCATGAAAAGAAGAAAAAAAATAAAAGGAAAAAGGCTGAGCTAGTTGCTGCCAGAGTCACAGTGGATGACTCTGCTTAGTGCTTAACTGTTTAAAAAAGACTTTAAAAAAGCGCCCTCTACAGGAGGAGGCGAGAGAACCACGTGCCTCATTTAGTCTGACTTTATGATCACTCGAACAAAGTTAAGCAAGGGTTAAAAGGCAAAAAATTCCTTATGTAGATGAGGCACATGGTTCTCTTGCCTCCTCCTGTAGAGCATGTTTTTTGCCTTTTTCCTTTTACATTTTTACATTTTCATCATGGCAGACAACAGCAGAGTTGAAATCCTCTGTAAAACAGCTGGAAAAGGTATGTGGGTCGGAGGGAGGGGGAGGAATTCAAAATTAATGTAATTTGTAAGTAATTGTAAGTAATTTGTGTGTGTGTGTGTGTGTGTGTGTGCATGCGTGTGTTTGTTTCTTCACTCAAGCAAACTCTCTCTCAATTTGAGAGAGAGTTTGATTGAGAGTGAAGAGAGGGAAGGGGGTAGGAGTCGGAGAGGCAGGGAGGGCAGGCCGCCAGCTTTCTTTCTCTGTGTCCATGGCAGCCTGCCAGCAGAGGTGGGTCTTTTGCCTGCCTCTGCTGGCGGGCTGCCACTTTCTTTTGCCCAGAGGTGGGCAGTTTGGGCAAACTGGCAGGCTGGTGCTTTCTTTCTTTTGCTCTGAGCTGCCCACCTCTGGGCAAAAGAAAAAAAGTGACAGGCTGCCAGCTCGCTTTCTTTTGCCCGCCTCTATGTCCGTGGTGGACATAGAGGCGGGCAAAAGAAAGCAAGCAGGCGGACTGGCACTTTCTTTCACCCGCCTGTCAGAGCTCAAGCAGGCAAAAGAAAGAAAGTGCTTTAGACAGTGGGATGTCAGGGGAGAAGACTGCCTCACCAGCCATAAACCTCACTGCACATCACTGCACCAAACATATAACATGCAGGATCATGACACCTGTATGGAAGTGCTACTTACACGTGTCCAGTTTCATGGGCTACAACAAATGCTGAGGAGAAGCCATCTTCATGATTAAGTGTACAGCTTCGAACTGGATGACACATGCCAGTAACTGGAGCATAGCCTGTTAAGGATAAGATAAAACTCTAATGAAGAAAAAGAAAATTAAGCTCAAATAACTATTTAAGAGCACCAGTCTCCAAGTGATCTTGCAACAGAAGTCTTACCTAAATAAAAAGAGAAGCAAAAGGGAAAATGATATTCATTACAATGAAAGGTGCTGTGCTCTGAAATGGAGAGAAAATGCAGAAAGCTGTGCTTTAAAAAAAAATACCAACAGGTAAATAAGATGAGCTTTTTATGAAAAAATCTTTACCAAAGATATTTTTAGAGAGAGTTTATATAAAAGCATTTTACATGAAGGAGCCACAAATATTTTAGGAAGAAATGTGTATGGTTGAAATGTAATAGGAAATAAGGTGCAATGGCTATAAAATGAGTGTGTGTGTACAAAACGGAACCTAATCAGAAATTAGGAATGGGTATCAGATTTTCCCAAATCAAAACTCCAAAAGAGAGGTTCACTGCTGAAGTGAATCAGGACCCTATTCAGAATAAACAATAGAAAGTTGTACCAGTGATAAAGAATGTCATAAAAAGTACCTTTAAAAAGCTTTACCATCCTCATATGGAAAATGCCAAGGTGGGACCAAGACATGGGCAAAAAAACAGAATTTAGTGACTGACATTTCAGTCACCTCAGGGAAGTCTGCTTTGACTTTGGAATATTCTGTTCTCTGTTCTCTTTAGTTCCTGCTTATCTGAACAGGAATAATATTGAAGAGCATCTATGACTATAATGGCGAACCTATGGCAGGTGTGCCGGAAGTGGCACACAGAACCTTCCCTCTAGGCACAGGAGCCATAGCCCGTTCCTCTTCTAGATTCTGCCATGCAGGAATCCAAATGGTCTTCATGTGCGCAGGAATGCTGGAAACTGGAATAGTAGCTCTCCGCTGCACATGTGCACACTAGGAAAATGATCTTCCAGTTTCTGGTGCACACATGCACACTGGTAAGCTGGTCTTTGTGCATGCATGCATGCCAGAAAACGGAAGATCATCTGCCAGCTGGGCGCATGCGCATTGGGCAACGGCTCTTCCAGTTTCCAGCATGTGCACACTCCCATTTTGGAACTCGGTGCCAAAAAGGTTTGCCAACACTGATCTATGAACTGAAGGATTTCTCTGTGGCTTGAAAACCTTCCTAATCTGTTGTCCTTCCAACTAATCCACGTTCTTCCAAAGAAATTGTATTCATTTCATAATAATAATCCAATTACTGGCCTAAAGATGTGCGTCAATATTAAATTACTCATTACTATAATCCAATATTTTCTTCAGCAGATACTATCACTATTAATATCATGATGACTGTTAATTTGCTTCCACCTCCAGCACTGTTCAGCAACCAGAATATAAACCTTGGCTCGCTCAACCAACCATCCAGTTATATAAATCAGCAGAATGAAGCGAATTCCTTATTTTCAGGAATAAAATAAAACCTGTAGATGCTTCAGGCCTTTATGAGAATCGAGTGATCTAATCATCCTTATGCAACTAAGTTACACAATCACTCCCAAGAAAACAAAAACTTGTGAGTGAAATTAAATCTGTAGACTTTACAGTACTAGGCGAGTGCAACATGCATTCAGGGAAATGCACACAATTTTGAACACAAATTAAGTAACTGAAACAACAACAACAGAGAAAAGATAATATCCACATTTATTAGTGACCGAAAACCCTTATAGATTTTTTTGCATAAAAAGGAAAAGAAATGAATTTGTAATTAGATAGATGATATGAAGAAGAGAGTTGTAATTTTAGAGCAGGGGTGTCAAGGTTGATTTCATTGAGGGCCATATCAGGGTTCTGCTTGACTTCGGGGGTGGGGAGCTGGGTGTGGCCAGCTCAATCACTCATGTTGGGGCACCCATAACAGCCAAGAGTTAAGCAGGACTTTCCTCAGACCCTCCCTCATTCTCATTATAATCTTCTTCCTTCCCTCCTTCCTGCCTTCCTTCCTTTTCTTCTTTTTTCTTCCCCCTCCCTCCCTCCCTTCGTTCCTTCCTTTTTCCCCCTCTTTTTCCTTCATTCTTCTTTCTCCTTTCTTCCTCCTCCTGCAGCCCTCTGCCAGCAAAAATGGAGCTTACCAGGGGTGCATGCTGTCCTCTCATGTTCCCAGAGTGGCCCCATGGGTCAGATCTAAGCACCCCAGTGGTGGGTTTCAAAATTTTTTGGAACCTACTCTGTGGGTGTGGCCTCCTTTGTGGTAGTGGCTTGCCGGCCATGTGACCTGGTGGGAGTGGC